AGTTAAACATATAACTGGACAACTCATTCTTCAAAGGCTGTAGATATAGGGGACACTGCAGGATGATAAGGAAATGACAGAGAAATCAAGGTCATTCTGCCTGGAGAATAGAATAGTGGGCAGGTGGTTAGAAAGTAGAGGGAAATAAAAAGCTGTTTCAAATATCTGAATGACCGTCACGTGGAAGAAGGATCACATTAGTTCTGAACTGTTGCAAGTGGTAGAACTACATCAAAGGAGAATTACAAGGAGGCAGAAGTGGGCTTGATCTAAGAAAGACATTGCTCACAGTCATAGCTGCCCCAGAATTAAATCGTTGCTTATGATTTAGAGTGTTCTGTGAAATTTCTGATGTTGGTCAACATAGAGATGGAGAATTCCTAGGAGAAGATGTCCTGGACAAGTCTCTGTCATTCAGGAAAACTGAGACCAGTTGAGGTATTTCAAAGGACATAAGGTCTAATACAGAGAATTTGGTGATCACAAAACTGTTGAAAGGGCTGGCAAAGTTACAGGCAGGAAGCAGGCATTAGCTTTCAGTTTCACTGCTAGGATTATAGTCTCAGAAGACAGAGAAACGCTGCTGTCACGCAGGGTCAGTAACAGGTTGAACCTCACTGCTAACTTCCCAGCTCCTCTGTAGCCCTGAGTCAGGTGAATATCAGAAAAACTCAAAAGCCACTGCAAAAATTAAATTGTGTATATGCAAAGCCCATATGACCATCTGCTGCCACTACTAGAGGAAGGAGAAAATGGCTTCCACTTCCACTCCCCCTTTCTGTAAGTGCCTCTCATTGACAGAATGTAAATGATATCCACAGGGCTGGAAACAAGAGGTTCTGGGAAGTATAGTTCATAGACTTGTAGCCCCTGAAGTACAGAGGAGAGTTAGAAGGACCGGACAGGGAATATTGGTTGTCAAACAACATCTAGTACCAAGTTCAAACATCAAGTTGGGGGATAGATGGAGGCACGTACTTGAAACTTCATGGCCTGCTTAAAATTATAGAAGTGGGATTCCATAGTACTCTGCTCACCTTTTTCTTCTGATGTTGCTTATAAGTTGATTAAGTTCATGCATTCCACTTTGGCAGCCTGGGGTTTGCAGGTTTGGATCCTGCTCATCAAGCACTGCTCATCAAGCCATGCTGTGGTGGCATCCCACATAAAACAGAGGAAGATTGGTGCAGATGTTAGCTCAGTAACAATCTTCCTCAAGCAAAAAGAGGAGGATTGGCAATGGATGCTAGCTCAGGGCCACTCTCCCTCACACACACAAAAAAACCCCAAAAAGCACTGTTTTGCAATAATAACCATCAAGACACTCTACTCTACTCTGTCTCTGGAGACCATGAGCAACAGTGCTTTTCTAAACACAGTGGAAACTCACCTGCTAATTGCTCTTATAGATTCTGTGCAAATTGTTCTTAAAAAGAGGTCATTTGGGGGCTGGCCCTGTGGCACAGCAGTTAAGTTCACATGTTCTGCTTCGGTGGCCCAGGGTTCGCTGGTTCAGATCCCAGGTGCAGACCTATGCACCACTTGTCAAGCCATGCTGTGGTAGGTGTCCCACATATAAAGCAGAGGAAGATGGGTACAGATGTTGGCTCAGGGCCAGTCTTCCTCAGCAAAAAAGCGGAGGATTGGCAGCAGACGTTAGCGCAGGGCCAATCTTCCTAAAAAAAAAATATGTGGAGATATATATGTATAAAAAAGATGTCATTTTACTGAAGATGACCATCTTTGTGACTGCTAAAAACACATGCTATTATTCAACTCAATTAACATTTATTGAGCAGCATGTTCTATGAACTGTGAGAGTATTTTTAAAGCCCAAGAGGCCCAGCTGACCACTGGTGTTTGTGGGCACAACCATGCACTGTGGCTTCTCCTCCCCAGCCACAGAATCCCCACAGTGGCACCTGGATAGCAGGGAAATAAGGAGAGGTGGTCTTCTTACATGGGTTCATCACATTGTAATAAGTGGCTGGGTCTCCCACCTCCACCCAACTTATGCATCAAACTTCAGGACCAATTTTATAAGGTCACATCATGAAGATTAAGGAATAGATTTGATTGAAGAAAGGGAAAACTCACAAGGGCAGGGTCAGCAATACAGAAATTCATACTGTACTCATCTTTCATTATCCTATCTAAAGGCATGCCAAGACGGCTGAGGCAGCCAGGGATGGGTACCTCTCAGACTTCACTCAAGAGAGAGCTACCGCGAGGAGTGCAGCTAGCTGACAGCCTCCTCTTCTAGGGTCTCTGGGATCTACAGGAAGACCACACTTGTTGAGCACCTCCCAGCCAATGACGTCACACAGGTACTAGGACTTGGTCATTTTTGCCTAGCGTGGAACTTTTCTAAGGGCAATCTTTGTGCTGGCCCAGACTATCTCAGAGGTACAGCAGGGGACGCTGGGTGCCGTTCTCCTTGCGTACCTGCAGATTCCCTGGGTACCTACCAATAAATGAAATTGCTGGATCAAAAAGAACTTCTTCACGTGGCTTCTGAAGAAGTGACCACTACAGGTCACCTCTTCGTTCTGTTGAACATCGCAATTTCAAATCTGTAATATATCATGGAGTTAATTTGGACGAAACTGCAAAGGGATTTATAGTATTTCTGAAGCAAGATGTTTCTTTAAGATCAATCTGCCACCACCATTCGGAAATTATAAATATGATAAACTAAAGATTATCCATCAAGCACATAAGTCAAAGACAAATGAACTTGTGTTGAGTTTGGGAAACGATGGCACAACTCCCGTTATAAGAAAACAGTGCTTTGAAAGCAGCTGGAATTGCCAACGATACTGAAATTCATTCTCCTGTGAAGAAGATTATACGAACTACAAAGCTAATCCCATTTCATCCTGGCGAAAACCTCACAGGGGCTGCCTTTTTCCATGCCTGTATTAAGCTCTTTACTCCACAAGTGAGTACAACACCTGTCTGAGGTTCTCCCTCCCAAATCTGCTTGCCTTCCTCCTTTCTTGACACAGATGTCAGGTCCACATTGTGGTCTGAAGTCTTTCTCTGCTGATTCCTCTCCACTTACTTTTCAAAGACATTATCCCCAATAGATTTCTTGCATGTGTAACTGGGTCTTGGTGTATATTTTCTAATGAATACAGCCGTGACGCCTGCTAGACACAATGTGGGCTTTGTTCCACAGGAAGTAGCCCTTCCCTCGTTTTGTCTGTCTATTTTCACATTGCTGGAGTGAGGGGGAAGGAGGATAAAGAATATTTATTACCAAGCAGCCTGGATTTGGGATGCCAGCTGTTTATAGAAGCTGTCTGAGGAAGCCAGCTGCTCTGATTCTGTGGAAAATTTGGCTCTTGAGATGATGTAAGGTCCTGGTCCTATAGGAAGCTGATCTTAGATATAGCCTCTTCCAGCAGGAGAAAGGAGGTCCTGGTCCCAGGCGGCTCATTGCACAGGTAACCCGGGGTAACTTGTAGGGCTATTTGGAGCTAGCTCCGCCCATGGTACAATGCGTGAACAACATTGTTCATTTTATTCGCACTCTGCGGTGGTCCTTCAGAGCAGGGGTTAACTGGGCAATCCAATTCGGATTCTATAGCTCTCAGTTCCTAAATCAGAGCAGGGCTATAAATGCATTCCCCCATCTTAAAAACTTTCGATTAAAAAAAAAATAGTCGCAGCTGGAGAGATACGCATTGTCACATGTGCGCCACTCTCTGTGCTCCAATGCAGAAAAGTTTTGCTTGTGAATTACAGAAGTGTTATATTTTGCAAGGATTGATTTTCCCTCATCTCTCCTCCAACATGCCACCTCAACCCCTTTTCACGCCTAACATCATATAACCATCCTTCTTCCCTCCCCCTCAGTTGATTTGTTCTTCTCAATGCCAGGAAGAAAAAATTAGCACAATATCTTGTTTTGAGCCATTGGCTTATTCCAAGAGGAGCAGAATTCACATATCCCCATATCCATACCTCTTTGAGTCAGGAAAAGAGAGTGGAGAAACAGACATAAACAAGGTAAATTGTACTAAGCAAAATTATATGGCAGCTTTTCTAGCAAGAGAATCCAGTACTTGGGTATCTAATTTGGGTATCTGTGCCCCTGCACCGAAGTCTAAGCAGGCAGCTGCAAAGATGAGACAGAGAAACATGGCAGCACGTAGGAGAGTGGAAGTCACAGGGATAGTCTAAGGTCTTATTTGGCTCATGAGGTAGAGACAGCAGCCAGAGATTTATTTGGTCCAACCCCTCCACTTACAGATGAGGAAATCAAGATGCAATCACTTACTTACTCAGAGTTGTATGACCAGTTGTGGTCTATCAGGAACGGGACCCCGATCTCCAGATCCCTAATCCAGTGCTCTTTCCTCAATGCCTTATTGTTTCTTGGTCATATATCATTTTTCTGCCTCACTTTCTCCAGCTGTTTCTGTGTAACTCTCACCAAGGATAAACCTAAATAAGGTGGCTCTTATTTTCTCTTTACTCACGGCAAGGATATGACATAGTCAATAAGCATCATATGAATTGTCAACAGCACTGTAATCTTCTACCTGTGGGCCTATTTCTTATCATTTTACCATCTAACTTGCCCTTTTGTGTCTAACAGCCCTGCTATAATCCACATTTATTGCTTTCTCTGGAGCGAGGAGAAGCATGATTTATAAAGTTGATGAGGGGCATTGAAATCTTCAGTTTCAATAAGCAAGAATTGGCAGTGGCATGCAATTACTCCTCTCATGCAGTGTCAGTTCCTCTGCAGTTACTGTTTGTGGTCATTTGCATTATTGGCCTCAATATTTTATCGCTGCCTGAATCAACTCCCTTTTCCATGTGTGGCAGCTTTGTTTTGTCACCTGAGCTAAGCTGGAGGTACATTTCCCAAAATGGTCTTCTCTGTCTGGTCCTGGATTAAGTTTGCCACAAGAAAAATTTGTATGTTTTGGAGAAGGGAAGTGAAACAGCAGCCATGTTTTTATATTCTGAAAGTGGGTGTAGGTTGGCACTCTTGCGGCTCCTACACATTCTCACTGACCTGCTGGCTCCCCTTGTGGGCAGGGAGCCGCAGCCACCCCGCAGCTCCTCCAGCTCCTGTTGGAAACCTTCCACCTTCTGCAGCTCCAGAGCCAGGACAGCACCAGCTTCTCCTGCAAGTCACTCACGTCCTCGTGTTTGGAGACAGTTAGAGACTGACATGGGTTCCAGCTGGTCTTTCTCTTACCACGGTATGTCTAACCTTCCTTCCCAACTGCTGGCCCTGATTACCTCAGGCTCAACACCAGATACAGAGGTAAGATCCCTACCTTGACTTCTTAACCAGCTCCCACAATTGCATAAATTTTAATCCCTAGAATGAATCCCTTAGTCTATGTCTCTCATAGTAGTTCTGCTTGTCTAATTAGACTCTAAATGAGACACCATTGACTTTGCACCTGCCCTTACCTCCACTTACCGGAGTAAATTTCCTCATCCCCTGACTTTGGGTTTGCCCAGGTAACTTGCCCTGATGTCACACAAGCAGGGACTCACCCGGTGGGGCTTTCCCCTCTTGCACCTCTATCTATCACCGTGAGAAGAGCATGCTCTGAGCAGCTCCTGGTCCCAGGAGGAAGATGAGACTCATGTGGAGCACGGTCACCCCAGCCACTGCAGGCTGAAGCAAAACTGGGCCCCAGACAAGCCGAGGCCCCCAGTGCAAGGAGAACTGTCCAGCCCAGCCCAGCCTGCGTCAGCCAAACACCGGCTGACACACAATGCATGAACAATAATAAACACTTGTTTTGTTAAAGCCACTGAGGTTTTTTTGTTTGTTTGTTTGTTTTTGCTTTTGTTGTATGCCCTTGGTAGCCTGGGGAAGCCTACAGATCCCTTCTCAGAATGATGTTTTTTTAAAATTTTATTGAGGTCGTAATAGTTTATAACACTGTAAAATTTCAGTTGTACATTATTATTTGTCAGTCATAATATATATGTGCCCCTTTACCCCTTATGCCTATCCCCCAACCCCCTTCCTCTCTGGTGACCACTAATCTGTTCTCTTTGTCCACGTATTTGTTTATCTTCCACATATGAGTGAAATCATATGGCGTTTGTCTTTCTCTGTCTGGCTTATTTCGCTTAACAAAATACCCTCAAGGTCCATCCATGTTCTTGCAAAGGGAACGATTTTGTCTTTTTTTATGGCCGAGTAGTATTCTGTTATATATACGTATACTCCATCTTCTTTACCCAGTCATCAGTCAGTGGGCACTTGGGTTGCTTGCACGTCTTGTAAAGCCACTGAGTTTTGAGGTGTTTGTTAAGCAGTAATAACCAACCAATATATGGTTACAAAGCATTTATGTCAGAAAACAGATTCTATACATCTCTGATTTTTGCAAAAGAATACTTTTACATGTTTTCAGATAACTTTAATAATACTTAATTTAAAAATCACTCTCTTTTTGTTTCATTTATAATGCATTGTGAAGCATACAAAATTAGAGATAGTTTGGATTTGAATTTTGGCTCAAATACTTATGACTTGTATGAGAACTTATATAACCTCTGTAAACCTCCGTTTCCTCATATATACAGTGGGTGTGAGATAATACCTAACTGGTTATGGTGAGGATAAAGTGAGGTAACGTTCTCAACATAGAATTGCACATAGTACATGCTCAATAATCGTTTAGCTATCAGTGTGTGTGTGTCTTCAAGTGTTCACGTTCACTTAGTATTTTGGTTGCCGTCCATTCACCATTCACTGAGGGTTGAATATCTGCAGAACAGTGTTGCGTAAGGAGCATCTATAATGGGCTCAGGAGCTACCTAGATGAACAAGACCCAGACTGTGCCCTTAAAGATTCCAGTCACCTTTGCTGTATTTCAGTTACTTCCGAAATAACTAAATCACTTCCGAAAGGCAGTATTTCTGCTCAGTGACAGCAACTGAGGCTATAGTACTCAACATGGGACACATTTTATGATTCTATAGACCATTTCAGGGGACAAACAGAAAGACAAAATATTCAGTGATTTGGAGGCACTGTATGTTTTATTTAGCTAAATTATCACCATTCTCATCAGCTTCATTTCATTTCAAGCCTTTCAGCTATTATATGAAATAAATACAGTATTTCCATTCTCATTTGTGGCTTCTGTTTTACCCAAACTATAATCTTTCTTTTGAATGCATTGATCTAAAAAACAACTAAATTCTCAAGTTTCATTTTTCTATATATTAGAGCCATTTTATTTGTGAAATTATAGCTATAATTATCATTAGTCTTATAATTAATGAAATGAGATTAATTCTTTGCTCTGAATAAATTTATGTTAGTGACCTTGTTTTAGGCTAATACTAGCAGCAAACATTTACAACACACTTACTATACGCCAAGCATTATTTTGAGCCTGTGATATAAAATCACTCACTTATCATGACAACGATGACATCTGCAGGGTTTAACGAATATTCCCATTTTGTGGATGAGGAATCAGAGGCAGAGAGATTAAGCAACCTTCCCGAAGTCACACAGTTCGTCCACGGCACAGGCAAGACCAATCTAACTCCAGATTCCAGGCTCTTCACCACCAACCTCTACCAGCTCTTCCCTCCGCCCCGTGAAGCAACCAGTCTCTGCATGCAGAACATATCGATGCTTAATCTGAATCCCCCCCAAACTAAACCTCCCTCAAAATCACTTCTTTATTCTTCTGAACCCTCAGCCTCGAGTGATGCTCTTTATCGTCTTCAAGCACAATTTCCATTGAACAAATATCCTCTTTTTATTGACAGGAATTTCATTAATTTGCTCCTTTCTTGGGCCTGACAGAAATGATTATTGCGTTTAGGAAAGTGGAGAGAAATGGGTTCTTACTTTGGAAGCAAAGAGAGCAGGGGGCAAGAAAGAAAACAGGAAGGGCAGAGAGAGAAGTGTGCAAAAGGAGCCAGGAGAGGGAACAGCGGGGTCACAGGGTGTGGTCCCCGCAGCTCCTCAGTTTCTCTTCTCCCTCCCTGCTGTCAGACAATTCCCAGAAGGCTCAGGGAGGGGTTGCTAAGCTGTCACTATGGGGAGCCCGCAGGGAACGGCAGACTTGCCCCATGACTGCGGGCAGGGAGCAATGAGAGGGCAGCAGCTGGGGATCTCGGGATGCAGGTGAGATGAAGGAATGCGTCCTGCATATTTTAACCTGAAGCTCCCAGAACTTCCCTCTGCTCTGGTTGTTTCTAGGGAGCAGAATAGAAAGAGCAAATGAAAAGCATCCTTCAAACAAGCCAGGGAAGGAAGCCGAGTGGCAGGAGTTCAGAGGCCCTGAGTCATCATTTTCAGCTCCTGCGGACAGGCGCCTTCCTTTGAAGCAGAACGTTCCTCCTGAATCATTTGGTGACTTTCTGTGAAACTATCTGCTGACACAGGTCTCTGTGGCTCATTCAGGGAACAGGGGCCGGCCTAATTTCTGCCCTGTGGTTTGAAACATTCTTATTACTTCTGTCCTGGCTTTTGTTTAACTACCCCTCCCTGACACTCATGATACCTTAATGCTCCAGGCGGCTGAGGCAGTCACTTGGCTCAGCAGCCACAACTCAATATTTAACGAGTAAACTTCAGGGGCCTCCTAGCTGGCCTCCTCCTATTTCCTCCCTTCCTCTCCCATCCATTATTCATCCAACAGCCAGAGTACCTTTTTAAAAACATAAATAAAATTATGTCACCCACTGTCCTTGCTGAAAATCATTTTACATACAAGGAAAAATATTTCACATGGCCTGTAAGGGGATGTAAGGAAAGACCCTTGCCCACCTTTCCACTCTCATTGTTGACTAGTCTCCCCCTTGTTTTCTATCTTCCTGCCACATCCACCTCTCTGTTTCCCTAAGATATCATGCTACCTCCCACCCCAGGACCTTTGCACATGCTATACTGTTAACCTAGAGCTTGCTCCCTTCGCAAGTTAACTCTTACTTATCTTTTAGGTTTTTGAGCTAGATACTCTCCATTTCCCCTCCAGATCCACTCTCCACCTCCACCTCCCTATTCTCTGCCCCAGGGGGCTGGTTTACATGAATGACATTAACGGTCTCCTTTGCCTTCTGGCCTCTGGAAGAATATTGAAGAAAGAGAAGAGAGTGAAATCAGGGCACTTATTTCCCTGAATTGCTCTTTGCGTAGGTCAACTCTTTGCAACTGTCAAGGATGCTGTATTAGTCAGCTATTGCTGTATAACAATCAAAAACTCTCAGTGGCATACAACAATAAGGATCCATTTATCAAATATCTTCAGGTCCCTTGGGAGGGGGGAACTGCTGATTTGGCTATTGTAATAATAATTCTTGATTTTCTGTAATTGATGATTTGGTGTCTTGAAAGCGTGGGCCAAACTAATGGCTACAGTTGTTTACTCCTATACCATCCCTGTGTTTTTGCAGGTTGCACAGACATCATATTACAAACCCTCTAACCACAAACTCCAAGATCTATGTTTTGCTCCTGCCCAATAGGGGACATCCCAACCTAACACCTTCCTACCACTATGGTAATAACGGCTCTTGCTTACGCTGTCCCCTCACTCCTTCTGCCTGCTGACTGACCTGGTGCTTCCCCATGTGGCCCTGCATGACATGGCATATCTCCTCCTCTTGAGAACTGTAAGTAATAAGTTCTTCTTTAATGGCGTTGACCTCTCCATGTTGGTACTCAGTCATACCTATAAATTAAATCTCAGGTACGTCCTCAAACAGCTGTGCTCGACTGGGTAGCAAGGGAGCAAGCCTGATCACTTATGGACTTTTGATGATTTCACTGTTTGTGTCTCCTACTAAACTGCTAGTTCCATGTTTGTTTTGCTCATCTTTACATTCTCATCACCTAATAAAGTGCCTGGCACATTGTAAATTCTTGACAAATATTTATTGAGTGAATGGTTAAAACAGGCATCCTGCATTAGATGCAGCCCAGCACTATAATGCACACGGGGGCAGGGGACCCACCAGAGGGGCTGTTCTAGACTTCAGATGAAAGAAGAATTTTGAAAGGACATTGATTCCCTCTGAAGGCAGAGGTGACTATAAACTGTTATATATAAAAGTGACGATTTTTTGCTAAAAGTAGCCCACTGACTGTGTATAAAACAGCCCTAACGCCATCAAAGTCTGACCCAGGCAGTGGTGACCGAGGCTTCAAAGATGCCTGTGATGCCTTGGGATGCTCAATGGGTTCTCACTGATTAACTGGGAAGTGGAATTTGGAATGAAATGAACTGGAGCGTCCCTGTGTGTTTGACTTCTTCGAGTCCTGGGGTTCTTCTCTATAAAATGGAACAACATTACTTGCCTTAAGAGCTGCTGTGAAAACAAAAAGACAATGTGTGGAGTTTTTCAAAAATTTCCCCACTGTGATCCATGCAGATTTTCAGTTGTTTGGGTGGTGGTAGGTGTAGTAGTGTTAGTTGTTACTATTCAGAGCTGTGACTGAGAACACACTGAAGTAAAATATCTCATTGTTCTATTGTCATAGGGCTCTCTCTGTAGCATACACACAGTTTGCACATAAAGTAGAAGGAGGAAGCAACAAGATCATCTGGGCAAGCGCAAACTGTGCCCTCTGATCCTTCCACCTTAGGTGGCCTCTTGTTCTGATAGAAGAGCGGGATTTGGGGAAGAAGAAAGAACCAGAGGAGGAGGAAGTGTACACCTGTCATTTGGGGATACTTGAGTCTGAGAGGCAGTGTTGCCTTACAGTTAGGGTCAGACTTTTGTGTCCCATAGACCCAGGTTTGAATCCCAGATTTACTGCTTTCTAGCTGTG